AAAATCTGCCAAACAACGAGGTGATTGCTGTCATTTTCAGCAGAGACTCAAACCAAACGTGTGTTCAGCGTTTCTCTTAAAGATGTCGCTGAGTTCGGGAAGGGTAGTCATTTCTTTCAAATGCCAGTTAAAACTGTTTTACCTAGCTAAAAATGTGAAATACTATTATTTCATTTGCATCTGATTAAAATTATTATAGTCCACTGTAAATTACTGTGTAAACGAATTGATATTGAAGATGTCGCCATCTACTTGTAAATAAGTCAATCACTTACAGAGAATTTGAGTGTGATTAAAAATATTTAATGTATGTCATAAAGCCCAAAAAATGGCGCGCTGGCTCTTTAACCTTCCAACCAGTCATTTTGACAGCTGATTTGAACGAGACTTGTGCTTACCTAACCTCACTTTGTCCTCCAACGTGTCAGGATTGCAATTAATTTTGTTACGAAAATCAAATAAAAAATCATTTAACTTGTGCCGATGATTATTAATCATAGAAAAAGTATAGTATTCTACTCGTGGATAATGGCTATTACTCACTCAGATGATTACACTACTCGCCTGCGGCTCGTAGTGCAAACTTCATCCTTCGTGAGTAATAGCCATCATTACCCACTCGTTGAATAATATACTATTATTATTAGATTAATCAAGAAATAGTATATTATTCAACGAGCGGGTAATGATGGCTATTACTCACGAAGGATGAAGTTTGCACTACGAGCCGCAGGCGAGTAGTGACATCATCCCAGTGAGTAATAGTCTTTACCCACGAGTAGAATACCATACTTTTTCTATGAATATTAAATAATAGGCACGAGTTATGCGGTTTTTTATTTAATTTTCATAACAAAATAATTGAAAATTCTGACAGCTGGAGGACAAAATGAGGTTAGGTTAGCACAAATCTTGTTTAAATAAGCTGTCAAAATGACCGATTGAAAGGTTGAAGTATGTTGTCAACTTGTCGAATTTTCTGATTGGCACTTAAATAGTAGAGTAATGAGACCAGGATCTTTTCATTGGGTAAAAACAATTAAGTGATGAGAAAAAACTCACTGTATGAGTAATGATTCACATTGATCAATAGAAAATGGATGTATATTACGCATATTATTCAATACTCATAGAAAAAACATATTATCTACTAATTACTAAACTAAGAATATTTTGCACAAAGTTCTATACTTAACCAAAGTAAGTAAGTTTGTAGCACATTATTCTAGAAGTCTAGGAAAAGCACATCTTTTCGTATGAAAAATCCAATACGAGAATGGTAAACAATGTACTTTTCTCAAAAATTTTCCTTGTGGGAAAGTGTCGGATGCAACTGATGTAATTTCCTGGCTGGAAATATGCATTTCCTGCATTTCGGTAAAAATCTGGTAGTGCATGGAATAAACTTTCCAAAACGTGACAGGTTTAACCTTGATGTGTCTATTTGGAGGAAATTGATACCAATAACAGAAGTAAAATGTAAGTAGATACCTACTTTATTATACTGATATGATATTGTAGTGATCCACCCAAGTACTCTATTAATTAGTTAGATGATAACTGGCCAGCGGTTCTATTTGATGTTAATTATTTCCTCAGATTACTACAAAATTAAGTGGTGAAGACTGAAGGGGGTCTATTTGCAAATGAGAGAAACAACTGTATAATAATTTTCATACATATTTTATTTACTAAATCAGCACTATCACTTAGGAAAAATCAGCCTAAGAATTATGCACAACCTAGGCACACGACAAATAAAAGAAAATTTTATATCAACAAATTCTCACTTCAATGATCATACATTGAAACAATCCAGTTATACACCCTCTTATTCAAAACTTAGTTGATAATACGCAATTAAATTTTATAACTCGTTCCTCGTTTGTTGGTTACACATTAAACAATTCCCTTTTCTAACACTTCCTTAATACTAAATCCTTTCATATTAAAACTCTTAATTAAATCCCTAACTTTCCAGTTGCCATTATACTACACTCCCAACTTACAATCTAAAATTAGACTACATAAAGAATTTCTTTTTATTTAATAGTTTAAGCTCAACAATTCATTAACTTCATGTCTTCAAAAACGGTGTAGTAACAATCCAATATTTGAATTCAAAATTCTATTTTTGAATTAAAACTCTTCTGGAAAATTCCACTTCAAATAAATTGGCAATAGTTATGTTCATCATATTTTCCTAATTAAATATTTTAAACAATATAAAAATGTCATTTGATTCAAAAACAATTAAGCCTTCAGTAAAGTTCAGTAAAGTTGCCCGAGGCAAAACAAAGAAAAAAAAACTTTTTGGTGGAGTCTCACTCACTGCCAATTTTCTTGATTCTTAAAATCTTACTATCAAATCAACTGCTAGATGTTATCTCTTTTTTTTTTCTGATTGTAACCTGCTTAAATAGTACTCAATTCCCACCAAAATTCTGTTACGTGGGCGGTCATTTAGCATTTCTCGAACCAATCCTCTTATTTGACCTCGTTTATCGAGTGATAAACGATATTGTTGTTTTGTTTTCCAAGAATTAAGTTTTTATTTAGGATATGATGCAACATCCGGCGGAAACACCGGTGTTGTAGTTTATCAGTTATGACGCAATTAAATCACATAAGTATAGTGATTTCCGGTTAAACGCTTCCTAATTTTATAATTTTTTATTTACCTGTTTTTTTTATCGGAATGTCGCAAGAGTCTATTAATTGGGGACATCGAACTCTGACATCCGGTCGCTTATCGCTTGTGTTGGTAAAAAAATTGTTATGTAATTTGAGTTGAGCTTAGAAATTTCGTCAGGTTTTTATTTATACTATTTTTATACGGAATTAGATGCTGGATTGCTAGGAGATTTAATAAGTTGAGATTAAATTATCTTGCAACTGACGTAAATACTTTTCTAATTAAAATGACTACAAAAATGCTTTTACCAATTAAGTTTAATTATATTTTCTGGGATTTTAGCACCTCGAAATTTTTTGGGTCGCCACAATATGAATGGAAACACTGATTAAATGTACCATATCAGTAACTCTATGAAGCCAAGCCTAATTCTGGTTCTCTTCCAGATTGAATTATTGATTTTTCTCATGAATAATAAATTTTTTAAATTTTCTAAATATTTTTGTGAATTACCTACCTACCTAACGTTTTTTGTAATAATCAAATGTAAATATATTTTAATTTTATTTTATTTATAATTCATATGGTAATTCCTGTTTATATCAAAGAAGAATCACAGTGCTTTTTTTATTCTTTCAGGCTTATGCTTCCAAATCTCGCCCACCGCAAAAAAAAAAACCCTTATTGATTGAGGGATCTTGTTATGCAAATACTTTTTCTTCTAGCTGACATGGTTACCTTGTTATCGGATATCAATTTTGACGTGGCTTTTTACAAAAATCTAATAATGCTTTGAAAACAATGTAAATTTTTCCTCGTGTTTTCGTGGATTTTTTGCTCGGATAGATGTTTTGCATCCTAGAGGTAATAGGATTTTTCTGGTTAAAATGTATATGTGGTGGTGTGTTTTCTAGCAGAGTTTATGTTCCATTATCTAAAATTTTGTTGCTTTTCAATTAAAAGTTTTTTTTTAGTTATCAGTCCTATTTAAGCCCATACAGACCGCAAATTCAAAGTATTGAGACGTATTTAATAGGATTTAAATGCTTTTGAACATGCAAAACGGATCAGCTAAACCCTGTCCATTGCGGTAGCAGTTAAATTGAAATTTAAATTTTAATAATTTAATGAGGTCGCGGCTTAAATGATAACTTCGTTATTGTCAAGTAACACAAAATGCATAAGTATAAGTATTTATATTTCCCAGATAATATCCGACGTTTATAGGCTGATGGTATAAAAGGTAAATTCCGGAAAATTTACATGAGCGATATTAGATTTTCCATATCAGGTGCTGTGGAAGATACGTTGTATGATGAAAATTGATCCATATTTATATTTGTATTATGTTATGCAGAAAATTTAAATTATTATTTCATTCAAATGGCTAAGATTTTGTACAAAGTTTTTTAGGGATCCAAATGATATAGGCATTGGAAAAGCTTAAGGATACTTATAAGACATGGAAATAATTCCTTTTTTTGTGGGCTGATCTATTATTTTAGCTATCAATCCCCTAAAAAGGAAAAAATTCCGTATCTCTTATTGCTTCGTTGAATCTACTACTGGCGTCGATCTATTGGAAGTCATTTGGGAACACGTATACCTACCTATAGAAATCGATATTTTGTATTGTACTTTTTATTGGATCATATAGTTTACTTCACAAAAATAAGTAACAAACAAGTTGTTAACGTATACCTATCAAATTTTTCAATGTTCGCTTTTCTTGATTTTCTATTCCATGGTTGGTTTGATATAAGAATGGTTATCTTTTCAGGAGAATAATTATTCTCACATTGATTTCAATTTTTTTTCTATGATTCACTTATCACATCCTCAATATCCAAATTGAAATTTCGAAAACTCGATAACTAAAGACGCATTCATTATTAAAATGTATATTTCTACACTTCACACTAAAACTAACTATACCATAAGACAGGAAATATAAAATGGATGTGGTATAATATAATAAAATAAAATTTACGACTTACATGCCAAAAGTTTCAAAGCCAACCCCCCTTTATATTTTATCATCCAAGACGATGGCTTTCATTTCGTTCGCACCTTTAAAGGAGAAAAGGGAGTCGTTTTATAACCCTTAAAATATGGCTTCTATACACGTGACTGAAACTGAAAATATAGTTTTTGTAGTAAAAAAATTGTTATTTATCCACGTGCCAATGGCTAAATTATACGCTACATTTCAACTAAAGAATCGTTTATAGGGGAGGAGGCATTTTTTTTCCAAACGTTAAAAATTGGAGTACAATGTAGGTGGACAGGTTGTATGTTTTATTTATAGAGCCAAAAGTCAAGCTTTACTTCAATAAAACTTCTAAAACACAGTTTTCTTTTTCAGGATTTTGTTCAGAACTTATCGATTTTATCTCGAGGGTCCTTGGAGGAAAAACTTCGATGGGCCTTTTCCCTGTACGACATCAACGGTGACGGGTACATAACGAGAGAAGAAATGACAGATATAGTTAGTTCAGTATACGATCTTATGGGAAAATTAGCTGAGCCTTGTATAGACGACGATACTGTGAAAGAAAAGGTTGATAGAATATTCCAGGTAAAACATAGAAATACCTTACAAATAATCAGAAAGAGTATCGATATAGCTCATCCAACTGTGTATGTTTCTCGATATTCTTTCAGGTAAAAAAGATAGAGCGGTAGAATAAATACAACTCTGCCTGTTATGAGAGTAGAGACGGCATTTCAGAAAATAAAATCGAGTTTGGAGTTTGGCATTGAAAAGAGTTTGATTCTATTAATATAAAGACTTGTATAATACAAATAACATGAAAGGAATCCGTGTTTTATTCTTAATTTCGACATTGATTATTTCCCAGACAGCACACAAAGTCATAGAGACGTTTTTAGGCAGAGGCGTTTAAAAATGTGGGGTTTCATAACATATGACGTCTTTAAATGTCTTCAAGATACCTTGAACACGTCAGCAGACGTCTAAAAAATGCCATAACAGTTCAAATCCAACCCAACTGTTCAGGAGCATTTTGGAACAGTTGAAAAACATCAGAGTCACTTTAGAACAACTGTGAATCAATTTGGAACTGGAAACCTTATAGAATTCTCTTGAACAGATTAAATTAAAATTTTCGATAGGGTTCCACATTTTGGAAAACTTTGAAAGGTCATAACTTTTTTTCTATTGAAGATAGAAAGCTGAAATTTTCAGCGATTCTTATCCCGGTAGTGGACTACAATCCCTGAAAATTTCAACTCATCTGGACTTATAGTTCCTGAGATAAAATCGTGTTAAGCAATTTGGGGTGATTTATCAGTTTTTCAATTTTTCTGAGTGCATTTTTTCATAGATTTCGGCTTTAAATTTGAGAATAATTTACTGTATGGAGTTTGGGGGATCCCAAGTGACCATTAGGACACAAAATCTCAACAAAAAAAAAATTGAAATTTCATTGTTATAGTAAGAAGGTACCTACCTTATGAATTAGATTTTTGAAAACTTTGAAAGGTCATAACTTTTTTTTCTATTGAAGATAGAAAGCTGAAATTTTCAGCGATTTTTATCCCGGCAGTGGACTACAATCCCTGAAAATTTCAACTTATCTGGACTTATAGTTCCTGAGATAAAATCGTGTTAAGCAATTTGGGGTGATTTATCAATTTTTCAATTTTTCTGAGTGCCTTTTTTCATAGATTTCGGCTTTAAATTTGAGAATAATTTAGTGTATGGAGTTTGGGGGATCCCAAGTGACCATTAGGACACAAAATCTCAACAAAAAAAAAATTGAAATTTCATCGTTATAGTAAGAAGATCTTATGATTTGGATTTTGGAAAACTTTGAAAGGTTATAACTTTTTTTCTATCCAAGATAGAAAGCTGAAATTTTCAGCGATTTTTATCCCGGCAGTGGACTACAATCCCTGAAAATTTCAACTCATTTGGACTTATAGTTCCTGAGATAAAATCGTGTTAAGCAATATGGGGTGATTTATTAATTTTTCAATTTTTCAATTTTTCTGAGTGCTTTTTTTCATAGATTAAGGGTTCAAATCTAAGAATAATCTAGTGTATGGAGTTTTTGGGATCCCAAGTCATATTTCAATTTTTCATCATCATATTTTCCCAAATTTTCGAAGAACACTCAAACACAAAAATTAAGAAAAGTTTTTGAACCTATAGCGTTCTCAATTTTCATTATTGAGGGCAGAGCTGTCAGTACTTCAAATAAATTACTTGGAAAATGTATTTCAATTACTTTTCAGTATTTGAAGTACTATAATTCAAATACTTTTATTTTTGTATATTTGTACTTGATTCTGTAATTACTTTAAATAAAGTATTTGTATTTGGTACTTGGATTTACAAAAAAAGTAATTCAAATACTGGACATTTTTACTCAAAATACTTGAAATATTTCAAATACCCCAGAAAGTAAAAAGTATTTGAAATACCCCAGAAAGTAATTCAAATACTTCAACAAATGTGAAATTAACATGTCCTACGGCAGATACCTATGACTGACGATTTTTTTTGAACTGGATAGTTCCCACTCCCTGGAGTTTCTTTAAAATAACAATAAAAGAAAATTTGAACTGGAAATTCTTCAATATGCAGAAGATACCAGTATAGATATAAAATTCTTGGATAGGTTTCCTGTCATAAAAGAAGTTTTTCATAGGTACAATACCAATACGTGTCTTCCGTCATCAGCCCCTGTAGAAAGACTTTTTAGTTTTGCAGAAATAGTGAACACACCTCGAGGAATAACAATCCCACTGCACTTTATTTCTTCTTAATCAACTTTTTCTATATAAATAAATTTTAAATCGTTAAATTGAAAGTAACAACAATCTGCAACTGGTATCTTGGAATTTGGAATCTCCGTAATACTTTTTTAGAGGTATTACAATATACCGGGTGTCCCACCGAAAACTGTCAATTGCCTATATCCTGAAAACGGTAATCGATTAAAAAAAAATGAAAAAACTGTTCGGAGGGTTGGAAGGGGGAACCAAAACAAGGTACGACAAAATTATCGCACCACTGCTTATGGTACTTATATGCAATTTTGTTCAGGAGTATATTTAAATTAAATTTTTAATCCAACACAACTTTACAAATCTCAATATGTACTTACATCAAAATGGTCTTCACATAGGTAAACATGACTTTGTAATGACATTTCTTTAGGCTGCGTCTCATGGCTTCTAGCCATATTTTTCGTTGTTTTTCTTCCATTCTTTATAAAAGTTTTTCCAGGAGTGGAAATTGTTGTACTTCTACATCCTGGCACAATACAATACCGATAAACCATTCCAACTCAAAAATAATTAAAAACTTCGTCAAAAAATGTAAGGTTCATAAGAATCATGAGAACGTTAAAACAAAATAACACCTCGTGACGTCACTGACAGCTGAAATATCAAAGCTACGTTTTTAGCGGGAAATTAGCCAGTTTGAATTTTAATTATTTATTACGACCTTAATATTCCACGTATTGTGAAAATATTTTGGAGGGATACTATTCGAGTCTAATTAATCATTTTTATACAATAAAAAAAAATATCTGCAAGGACCCTATTTCCATGTCTTTGTTAAATTCCGAGAAAATTAAAATAAATTATATATCGTTGGAAAGAGTATTAAATTCTCTATAAATTTGTGCAAAATTGAGTTTGATATCTCAAATAGTTTTTGAGCAATTAAGCCTCAAAGTTGATTTTTAGTCCAAATTTTGTCAAAAACTTCAAACTCAATTTGCTCAAAAACTATAAATCTAGGAGTAAATTACAAGCTATTTGAACCCTAATAAAAGCCACAAATGCTTAGAAATTTCAATGCAATTTGCTCACCAGTTACCGAGCAATTAAGGTTTGAATATTTTGAAATTAGAATTCAAAGGGGGTACCTTCATGAAAAACTTGATTTTTTTATTTTCTAAATTTGCTCAATTTTGACTTTATTTATCGATAGAGCGGGTCAAAATTAGTTTAAAACAATCTTGACTCCAGTTCCAAATGGCCATTTTTAGCGGAAACAAAAATAAAAATAAAATCCTATTTTTGGCTCTGGAAAATTTTCAAAATCTTGACATGGTCATGAGCCATTGCCATATCTTTGTTAATTTTTTAGAAACTTGGAATAAAATATATACCATTGGAAAGAGCATTAAATTCTCTATAAATCTGTGCAAAATTGAGTTTGATATCTCAAATAGTTTTTCAGCAATTGAGCCTCAAAGTTGACTTTTAGTCCAAATTTTGTCAAAAACTTCAAACTCAATTTGCTCAAAAACTATAAATCTGTGGATATTATAAATTACAGGCGATTTAGAACTTAATAAAAGCTACAAATGCTGGAAATTTCAATGCATTTTGTCAAACGGTTACCGAGCAATCAAGGTTTACGCGGCGGTGTGATATTTGGACGAGAATGGAGTGTTTTGTGTGGTCCTTCCTCATCTTTACCACGGTCCACGACCATACGTTGGAACACAGGCGGCTAACACCCTAGCAGCGGCCCTGTTTGTATAACCCTGGTTAAGTAGTTGTTTCTGGTTATTGGTTCTGGGTCTAAAGCCATACTTTCTTGTTCCTATTGTCCTATAGAATTTCCTGGTATGTTCCGTCCATCGACTACCAGCTCCTGCAACTCCTGATCTTGTTTTTTCCTTCTTAGTAGTTCATTAGCCTCTCTTTTTAGTTGTCTGAATTTACTGTGTTTTGCGGGTAGCTAATACGTAATGTCTTAGCTGGTAGTGGACTGTATTTACTTTGCGGCGCAACCTCTAAATAATGATAAAAAGGACTTACCCAATGATTCCATAAGTGCACTCCTGCAGGGACCCTGCTTTACACACGCGCTGCGGATTATGGTGTTCCCACTTACGGGTTATGTAACTTTGTAGAAGGTTGATACGAGAGGACTTCACAATGAAGTTTTGAGATTAGAAATATTGCGACCGGGTTAAGTCGTACGACGACGTGCCCGTGTCGTCTCATCGAGTTTCTTAGCAAGTCTGTCCAATTACTCGCTTCTGGTACGTCCACTATCAAAATCTAGAGGTACGACTTTTTTTGCGCGAAACAAAACAAAAAAATGCGAGCAAACAGGAATTTTGCACCTTTGCCAAATTGTATAAAATTTATTTAGAATAAAGACGAAACATACTGTTATTGTCTTTAGTAGCCGAATTCCACTCCCGCTATTTCTAAGAAATATTCCTGATTGATTTTCAAATTACCATTAAAAAAAAACAAATTTCATGCTTATTAAAATGTATTACTTATATAATTGAAGTACATATAACAATAATATAAAAAATTCGGATAAATAAATATAAGCAACAAACTATTGTCTACTTGCGTAATCCAACAAGGGTTGTAGTAAATTCAACCAATTCTTCCACATGTTCATTTGTCAACAAAAACTCCAATGTAGAGTTGGTATACTCCAGAGCTGCTTCATCAAATTCCCCATAAATTTCCTTCACTATAGGAATCGATCTGAGCATTTTGGTTGTAGGAAGATTCATCACAGATAGGTCGATTTTATCAGGAACTATTAAATCGACTAAAATTGAATCAAATAGAGTAAAATATGAAATTTTTGTATGAAAATTACCGGCCAAATTTCTGTTAGTCCCTTTCAAAGCGGAATCGGATATTTCGATGTTCGGAAAAAGTCGGCTCACATATAAAGGGCCCTTTGTCGTATTCAGTGACACAATCGTATCAACAAATAACCTCGCCACAATGTTTTTCATTGGAGCGAATGGATTCAATAAATTCATTATTTCCATAACTGTCGTCTTTGCTGTAGCGGAGGCTTTTTTTATTATGTTGACAAGTCTTGAAATACTGAGTCCTTTAATTTTGAAGTTACCCTTTCCCTTCAAGGATTCCAAAAAATTGGTAAAGACTGGGAATCCACCCTGTAGGTTGAATCTGTCAAAAAAAAATATCCAATTAAACAAAACTCTGTAGCAAAACGCCCCAAGTACTCTATGTAATTAGTTAGATGGTAAATGGCGAGCGGTATATTGATGGTGTTTATTTACTTGGAGCTGCTACCTAAAATCTGTGGAAGGGTCTATTTGCAAGAGAGAGAAACAAACTATTGAGGTGTACTAAATTATATTCTATTATACATAAAACAGCAAAATATCTTCCAATTCTGACAGCCTCATCTATTTCTATAATTCAATTTACTTCACATCCGTTCAAAATGTTATTATTACGGACCACTGAAATATCCCTACTAAATTAGAAACGCCCTATTCCTACTATTCCTAATAACTTATAAGTTAACTCATTTCAACACTTCCGATTCATTTCTATTAAACTACCCTTCACCTTATTATATAAATTCTTTAAAATTTCTAAGTCCTTTACTGACTGCTTATGAAAAACCCAAAATAAATACCTATTTGTTTATTAATATAGGTTTTACTAACTTATTCTTATAAAACCTTACAATAATTTCTACATGAAATTTAAAATCCCTAATTCAAAAGTTCGGCACTTAAGATCATGAATGTCTCTTGACGAATAACAAATTTCAAATAAACCTTTTCAATACGTCTAATGATAATCGTCAGCAGTTTTATCTCATTAAGGACAACAGTTCTTAAACTAACCACTCCATTACATTGAATGATAACCGTCAACAATCTTATTTCAAGCACAAGTTTCTTTTCGACACATCCCATTTCCTTTTTAACAGAACAAATTACTATCATAAGTTTCCTTTAACAACTTTCCAATATTTTAAGACAATTCTATTTCATGAACATCAAGATTCTTTTCAAAATTTCCTATTCCATTTAATTAAAACAATTACTATTTTTCGCCATCCTGGCTAACATACAAAATTATTTAAATTCTTATTAGTTCGTTACTATAGCCCTTAATCTTCAATTGGACAATCCAGTTCAAACTTCTTTAATAATCCTACTCAAATCGAAACTATTTATGTTATGGTAAATGCATTATAAATTCCCTTCATATTTTCTTTGCACAATTAAATTAGAATGTCATTATATCTGAAGGCAATTAAAGTTATGCAATAATGTTCCATTTATAAAACACTCGAGTTATTAATATTAATGCAATAAAGTTCCACAGTTAATTAAAAGTCAAAAGTTTTCTAGTAACAATCACTCAAGTTTATAAAGTCAAAAGTATTCCTAGTAAAAATCACTCAAGTTTATGAAAGTCATTTGTTAATTCACTTCTTATCATTCAGAATCATTGATAAAAGTCAAAAAATTATTAAACACTTACATTTAATTTTTGCACACGTAAAATTACTTAACTAATTACTCAAAATTTTTAGCTAGCACGCACATAAATGTTGACGAATTTAATTGTTCTTTCTTTCAAAATTTTTCCGCTACTTTTTCGAAGACTGTTACCGAGGCAATACAAGAAACTTTCCGGACTGACACTTTAGGTACTGTAGATTTTAACTCAAACTGGACAGGACTGCGAACTCATCTCTCAACTGACAACTCATCTGATATCTGGCAACTTACTACTACTTCTAAAACCGCGGTATTTATATTAAATCGATCCCCCCGCAGAGTATTATTAATTATCCCCCAAATCGTCAACAGGCGGTCGTTTGCCTAGCAATCCGACAATTCCATTGGCCGACCTAATTATTATTAAAAATTATGATGAAATTTCCTTGAAATTTTTATCATTCTTAGTTAAAAAATCGAATAATTATGTCGCAATATCCTAATTTATCGAGGCCAATATATTTTCTCGGTTCAAGAATGCCATAAATCATTTATAACTTGAACTCACTCTTATAAGTTCATTGATTTGGGTGATGACACTGGGCTTGATGACGAAACACCTAATATAATATTAAACGTTAATTTGTTCCTTTTTCAATTTATTGATACGGATTTGGAGATACCGGAAATTCTGTTTTTGATTATTTGACATTTATTAATTTTTTACAGTAAAGACATTGTGATTTATGGGTCTATTTTCTCGGAATATTACAACTCTTTGATTCAGGAGCCAAAACTTACGGTGATCTTTTTCGTCTGGAAACCTCTAGTAATTTATCAGCAGCCTCATCAATGTCCCGATTAGTAGGCCGCCCTCCACTGATGCAATCTAATATAGTATTAACGAATTTTTTCAATGTCCCAATCCAACCAAATGGGAATTGATAAATTTTCGAAAAGATTCCAAATAGGCCATTTACTCCAGCCGACACCATTCCACCTTAAAAAAATAATAATAATCAAACTCCAATGAATTTGTAAGAAATACTCACCCAAGCCATTAATCAATTTGCAAAAATTTTCTGGTAAGTTAAACAAATTTGGCCAAATTTTTATTAAATTGTTTTTTGAACCAATTTCTTTTAGAATTTCATATAGGGCCAGTGCACCATTAGCAGCTTCCATTACCATATTTAATTTAAATCTAGCAAAAATATTTATCAATATAATAAGTCGATTCAAATTTATACTTACTTGGCACCAGATTTTATAAGCTTTGCAATTCCTACCGATGCCTTAAAAAGTTTAATCAGCCATTTAAAAATAATAAGAAAGGACCGAAGTCCAGCTTTAAATGTATACCAGGCTTGTATTTGAGGTGCAAACATTATACGTAGGTACATCTTTAGTACATACACGATAGGAATTAAAATAATTTTTACGACACAAATTGCTTTGTTTGGAGAATGGTCTGAAATATCTATAGATATGTTTATTAATTTATTGAACAAATCATCCATCATAATATGGTTACCTTTTATTTGGAAAAACAAGTCGACAAATGCGGGACAAATTTTTCGAAGAATATTAATGAGTAAATCTCTTATTTCTTTGTTAGTTTTTGTATGTGCCTGTACCATTGGATACTTAGGAGTACCCTTCGCTTCACTCACAATATCGTATTTTTTCAAGTTAGATTCAAACTCTCCAGCTGTTTTTGCAGAACTAAAACAAGTATGTAATGATACACATTGAAGTTTAAACTCAGTGATTACCTATTTACCTTTTCCCAAAAAAACCTGATTCATAACCAAAGTCAATAACTGCTTTATCGCCTTTGAACTCTTCTAAAGCAACTAGTCCTGTTCTACTATCTATAACCAATCCAGTGTTGGTGATTGAGTTATGCAAAGCTAGTCTACCAGAATGTTCCTGAAAAAAAAATAAGTTATGACAAAAAAAAGCATCGAATTTAACTTACAGCATTCCACCACCAGCTAATATTTCGCTGTTCATCAACGCCGACATTGTCTTCCCATTCGTCTACATCAAAATCGACGTCGGAAGTTCCCGGCCAATTGAAGAGTCCCAAAAACTGACTTTGTCCAAAGGATACTGAAAAACAAAATAGTGGAAATATTAGGTATCTATATATTTGTTTAATGTTGTATTTACCTGAAAAGAGTAAACCCAAAAATATTGTTCCAAGGAAACTAGCCATGATTCAAGACCCGCAGGAAAACTGAATTCAATTGAAAAAATGCTTGATACTTGTATTGATAATGCTACTTCAAATAAAGTTCCTATTGTTTTTTTTTTTTTTTAATCGGAATCATGTTCATTATCCAACCGAGGTTTGATAACTTTTTTAATTAGTTTTTTTTTTATTAGGGTGTAGATAACCCACCAAGACAATAGACAATAGAAAAGCGTAGGTGAAAAAATAATGATGTATATACCTATTATATCTGTTATACTCTGAAACTTGCCAGGGAAATGTACGTACCTAGATTATCAATCATACTCATTGAATTCCAAAACTGATGAGACCAGAGAGTTTATTCAAGAGCCTGAGAAAAAATACGAATGTTCACTTATTTACTAATTTTTTCTTAATTTTTCCATCTCAATTTTAAATTTTTGTTTGTTCGCGGATCTTGAGTTTGTCGTTGTCGAAATAATCAAATGTAAAGAAAATTCGAGAGGTGATTAATACTTTATGTATGAACAGTGTGTCTTTTTTTTTTCAAGATCGGTAGAGTTTCAGGGTACTTATATGGCCCTTATAAGTTGAAAATGTAAAAGAATTTGCTTCGAACTTTAAAAGGTGAATTTCAACTTTGAAGCTTTATAACTTTGGAATGGTAATAGTTATTGACATTGAATTGGATCATTTTTTAGCAAATTTAATCCACTTTCCAATGAAACATGATTCATTTGAATCGGTCCAGACGTTCCAGAGTTATGGCCTATTTAATGGGGTCATATCAAGTTGGGAAATTCGAAATAAAATTTTGGAATTTTCTTCTTGCATTTTTTTCCGGGGTTAGGAAGCCTCAAACGAGAAAATGCCAAGAGACATTTTCTGTTTAATTCGACCCCCTCTCTACTCAAAAAAAATAATTAGTTTTGGAACCCTCTCTACAAAATGGCTATCTTGAAATTTCGATATTTTCTGAGTGCCTTTTTTCATAGAAATCCGGCTCCAAATCTGGAAATAATGTAGTGTATGGAGTTTGGAGGATTCCGATGGACCATAAGGACATAAAATCTCAACAGAAAAAAAAATTGAAATTTCATCGTTTTAGTAAGAAGGTTAGGTACCTTATGATTTAAACTTTGAAAGGTCATAACTTTTTTTCTATTAAAGATAGAAAGCTGAAATTTTTAGCGATTCTTATCCCAGTAGAAAACTACAAATCCTTGAAAATTTCAGCTCATTTTGACTCATAACTCCTGAGATAAAATCGTGTTAAGCAATTTGGGGTGATTTATCAATTTTTCAATTTTTCTGAGTGCCTTTTTTCATAGATTTCGGCTTTAAATTTGAGAATAATTTAGTGTATGGAGTTTGGGGGATCCCAAGTGACCATTAGGACACAAAATCTCAACAAAAAAAAAAATGAAATTTCATCGTTATAGTAAGAAGGTACCTAATGTACCTTATGATTTAGATTTTGGAAAACTTTGGAAGGTCGTAACTTTTTTTCTATTGAAGATAGAAAGCTGAAATTTTTTAGAGATTCTTATGCCAGTAGAGGACTGCAATGCCTGAGAGTTTCAACTCATCTGGACTTATAGTTCCTGAGAATAATTTAGTGTATGAAGTTTGGGGGATCCCAAGTGACCATTAGGACACAAAATCTCAACAAAAACAAAATTGAAATTTCATCAGTATAGTAAGAAGGTACCTACATTATGATTTAGATTTTGGAAAAATTTGAAAGGTCATAACTTTTTTTCTATTGAAGATAGAAAGCTGAAATTCTCAGCGATTCTTATCCCAGTAGAGGACTACAATCCCTGAAAATTTCAACTCATTTGGATTTATAGTTCCTGAGATAAAATCGTGTTAAGCAATTTGGGGTGATTTATCAATTTTTCAATTTTTCTGAGTGCCTATTTTCATAGATTTTGGCTTCAAATCTGAGAATAATTTAGTGTATGGAGTTTGGGGGATCCCAAGTGACCATTAGGACACAAAATCTCAGCAAAAAAAAAATGAAATTTCATCGTTATAGTAAGAAGTGACCTTATGATTTAGATTTTGGAAACCTTTAAAAGATCATAACTTTTTTTCTATTAAAGATAGAAAGCTGAAATTTTCAGAGATTCTTATCCCAGTAGAGGACTACAATCCCTGAAAATTTTAACTTATTTGAACTTAAAGTTCCTTAGATAAAATCGTGTTAAGCAATATGGGGTGATTTATTAATTTTTCAATTTTTCTGAGTGCCTTTTTTCATAGATTTTGGCTTCAAATCTGAGAATAATTTAGTTTATGGAGTTTGGGGGATCCCAAGTGACCATTAGGATACAAAACCTCAACAAAAAAAAAATGAAATTTCATCGTTACTATGTACCCTCTAACTTTGGAAGGTCGTAACTTTTTTTCTATTAAAGATATAAAGCTGAAATATTCAGCGATTCGTATCCCAGTAGAGGACTACAAGCCCTGAAAATTTCAACTCATTTGGACTTAGAGTTCCTGAGATAAAATCGTGTTAAGCAATTGGGGAAGATTTATCAATTTTTCTGAGTGTCTTTTTTTCATAGAATCTGGCTCCAATTTAGAATAATTTAGTTTATGGAGTTTGAGGGATCCCAAAGGATCATTAAGAAACAAAATACTTCTTGATAGTTGTCCCGTTTCTACGTTATCGGCCTTTAAAATTGTAACTTTCTATAGGAAATCTATTTTTATAACATGCCTTCACATTTTAATCATTTACCGAGGGGGATTTCATTGTGGTAATTTAGTGTACACAATAGTGGTAATTAGTGGAAATTTTATGGGAAATGAGTGGTAATGACTGGAAATTAGGGGAAATATAGTGGTATTGAGTGGAAATATATGGTAATTAGTGGAAATATACTGGTAATTCGGGGAAATTTTTGGTAATTTAAGGCAATTTAAGGAAATTTTTGGGGTAATTTAAGGAAATTTTGTGGTAATAACTCGAAGTTCTGTAGTGATAAAATTATGATATGCCTTTGAATTTGCTTTAATTTAGGAGTAACAGAGCTTCAACTAAACTATTTAACTAAGCTTTAAGTAAAATATTCTTCTGAGTCCCTATTGGTCAGTTAGAAACATCAACTTTTATTTTCTAAGGAATGTTTCATTTGAGGTTTCATTACATGAGAAGTGGCAACCTTGCAATAGTTCAACACTTGGTTCGACATCATCTATGAGCATCGTTTTTACTACTCATTTTGAAACTTTCAAGGCCTCGTTCCATTTGAGGTCCAGTTTTGTGCTTCAGTGTTTCTAAATCTGAAAGAAAAAGTAGAGAGAATGCATTCTTGTTATATTAGGCCTCCATCACACCTTCGGCAAATAGCTACAAATATTTGGATGTTTATGTGTTCTCGTCTCTCTGTTTCTCTAGTTTCAATTTTCTAGATTTTCACCTATCCGAGATGGATGCCAAATACCGAGCCAAATACGCAAATATTCGTGAAGAGCTTTACAGACTTTTGAGGTGTATGTATTAATTTTGACTGCAAAGGCGTGTAAAATTTCGTATTTTTTCATATTTTCGTCTTCTAGATGGAATCCGAAATAAAGTCCAAATGTTCTGAAGTCGCTGTTGAACTTGATTCCGAACTCGGTTCCAATCGTTTACGTTTTTTGGTAGATTTACATTTCCAAGGATCTTCTCTTTGAGATTTGGCGAGCGGAGCGAGCAATCGAAGACCAAAGAATAATTTAAATTTCAAGATCCCATAACTTGGAGTTTGTACTCGTGTTCTTACTAAAAACGTTGAAAGTTATTGGTCGTTTTTCAAGCAATAATAGGTACTTAAGGAGGTTAGGAGTAATGCAGCCTCCCTTTCTTGTGGATTATATCAACCAATTTATTTGGTCTCAAATTGGTAGAAAATTTTCGTAGTTGATTTTTGAAAGGTGTTCAATTTTGATTGAAATTTTCTGATGGAAAATATGCATTTTGCGCATTAATAGCTTAAACGTTTCTGTTTGATGGAATTTTTCCCAAAAAAAAAATATATATATATATACAGGGTGTTCCACGAGGTTTGTCCCAAATGATAACTTCGGAACGCATCATCATATGTTCCATTGTATAATTTTTTATCATTTTCTTTAACAAAGCCTTAACAAATATGACATTGCCGATTTTGTAATCTAATTTTCTAACGAAAAAGGCCATAATATACCATAAGTTACATTTAAAATTCGAAAGATGACGTCACTTGATCGAAATCGAAATTGAAGCGAAACTGGTGAAATTGGACGGAAATGGTAGAAGCGGCACAAAAAGTTACCCAGATCCTCAAATTTTCAATTATATTGGATGACGCGTTCCGAAGTTATTACCTGGCAGAAACGTCGTGGGACACCCTGTATAAAAGCCGTTTTTATTTGGACGGCACTATAGACCCGAAAATCGTTAACTGTGATTTTAAACCACCAAAATTGGGGGTTTATTTTAACAGCAGCTTAGAGGTACCTACTTAAACAAGGATTAACTTGCGGTGCAAGTCAGTTACGAAAAAAAAACCTTTGTTAAAATTTAAACCTCTGTTTAACTCATGGTGCAAGTGAGATAAACTATTGTCAAAACTGGAAAGTGATGTTGAAGTATTTTTTTTTAATATCCCTTAAATTTCATATTCCCAAGTCTAGTCGAGATAATGTTATGAAATAATTTACTTACTTATTAATTTTTTTTATGGCACAACAGTTTTTTCATGGGCTATGACGTTTTTACAAAACTATTTTTCCAGTATTTGCGTTATGTCATGAGGCTCATAACACAACTAGTTGTGTTATGGACTAGGTTATGAATTCATAACACAACTAGTGGTGTTATGGACAAGGTTATGAATTCATAACACAACTATTTTTGGTGATTTGACAAATGTCAAAATTAAACCTGTAGAGGTAAAATGAAGGTATACAACGACTAATAAAGGATAATGGTTGAAAAAAAAAATCTTATTTTTCCCTTTGTAGATAAAAAGTTGTACATCACACGTGCGTTTAAACATGACTACAAAACTCGTGTGATTAGAATCTTCCACACTCGTTATTGTAATTATGTTCATAAACGCACTTTTAATGTAAATAACTATTTTTTTCTTGTCGCCACTTTGTTATAGGTATCGAAATATAAGGTAATAAATAGGATATTTAGGAAGTTTTCTCCACTACCCAATTATTACATATTATTTTAGAAGCAAGGTCGCTAAAATAATACCCCCAATAATACCTACGCAGCTTAAAGGGGGTGTGATCCAAAAATGAAAGTTTTAGTACAAAAAAATCTAAGAATAAGTATTCAAACCGCATTTTGCTACGATGATCCGTTTTCGAGTTATGACGGTTTAAAGTTACAAATAGGTGTTTGTGATGTCACACTGGATTATCAGGGACAGTATTAGCACGTATAAAACTTTCCCAAAACAAAAGAAATTATCTCCTAGGGCGAATTGAAACCACTCAAAGTATAGGTACGGTTCACTGACGACTGAACGAACAGAAGACTCCCATTTCGGCGGTTGTGACATCACAAGTTCCTGCATAATTTATCTTCACAAGGAATTTTCTCGGAGACTATTTCGAATATAGGACTGCGGTTTTCACGAGTGATCTTAGAATTTTTTTCTTGATTTAGGTAGCTTAAGTCGTTTTTTAGGGTCACACCCCCTCTTTAATGTAGGTACACAATTATAGTTTTCAATACCCTAAAGACGTATAAAAATTTACATAGTGTTATTATTATCATGTACCTACTTAGCAACATGTTATTGAGTTCTAAATATCAGGTATACTTGAAAATTAAAATAGATTTGTGGTATTTAGTGGTAATTTCAGTGGCAATTAGTGGTAATGAGAGTGGTAATGAGAGTGGTAATTAGTGGTATTTAAAGGAAATTAGTGGTAATAAGTGGTAATTTGAGTGGCATTGAGTGGTAATTCCTGAGGCAATGAAAGGTAATAGAGAAAAAAAGTGGTAATTTGGAGGAAATTATTGGTAATTTGTGGTAATTTCTATCAGAAGTGGTAATTTAGTGTACACAGTTCCACTACTGAAATCCCCTCGTCATTTACTCAAAAACGACGAAGCACGAATATGAAATTTTGAGGAAATATTTCAAAGGCTTAGAGGCAGGTGGTTAATACATACTTTCTCTTTCAATATTGTGTTCATTTTTCTTCAAAATCGGTATAGTTTTAGGGTACCTATTTATGGGCATATGGAGTGTAAGTCTCACCTAAGAAAAATGGAATTACGTATTTCTTTTCAAAAGTTGAAAAACTTTTTGCCGATTCAAACGCAAGACAATCAGTCGTATGAATAAACTGTATATAGAAAATGCTTCTACTCTAACTCCGTCTCTTTTTGCTTTACTAAAGCTGAATATGTTTATCTCAAAAAACTTAAGCAAAAGCATTTCCTTCTGTTTTATTCGTATGGACCATTACAATTCTTTTGACAAAAAAAAAAGTGTCTAATACAAGCAAATACAGCCTCTAAATAAAATTGATAGGTAAACTTTTCCGGTCTCCCATCATAAACCAATGTCCATATGTCAAAAGTTCAAATGAAAGTGAACTAAAGAAAATTTATATTCAAATCTCTGTGGTAAAAATATCGCCTTTGATATTTCCATTTCATACAAAGAGATTCAGGAAATCAAATAAAATGAAGACAAACCTCCAGTCTATCAATTTTATTGGATTTTTATCGTCTAATCATAGATATGTCCAGGCGCTTTTTGACCTCTTTCATTTATTGGTAATAAAATACGACTCATATATATATAGAGATATTTATTAAAAGGAAATGATATTGGATTTGTATTTAAAAATTTCCATGTTTTTCAGAAAATGGACAAAAACCAGGACGGCGTAGTGACGCTGGACGAATTTCTTGAATGCTGTAAAACCGACAAGGACATTTCCGCTTCCATGGCTGTTTTCGATTCGTCCATGTGACATTCGGTTGGAGTTCGCGAGAACCAAACAGAATAGGAGATATAAACAATTTTTTAGATTATTTTTCAATTTAACGTGAATACATTTTAAAGATTTCAGCAACTAGAATAATAATTTACAAAGAAAAACTATTTTACAAAAATATTTAGTTAATATACAGGGTGTTTAAATGGACTAAAAGATTTTCTTTGTAAAATTATTCGTACTGTATTATCTTCAAAATCGTATCAACAAAATTATACTCTAAATTACAACAGTATGTTTTTAGATTTTAGATATGACCAATTATATAAATCTACTTCTTTGAAAAAAAAAAAAAACGTTTCAAATTCAAATTTAGCTGTAGATGTTTGTTCAAGATACTTTTACCTTTCAAAACTTACAAATTCTGAAATGGGCTTAATTTAAGATTAATTTTTTACAGTTTTCATAGTTTCGTTTATAATGTAAGTGTTAAATTCGATTTCTCTACAGCAAATACAAAAATATTAAATTATTTTTGCTTATCAAATATTACAACTTTAGGCCACAAAAGCAGGATGGAGCGTATTTGAACGAGAGAGGATCAATATGAAAAACAATAAAAACTCAATAGACCAGAATTTAATCAAACTTTAATAGTGTGTATTAACAGCTTTAATGGAAATCAATAGAGTTTCAGTTTTAATACTGGTGTAGGATAAATAACAGCAACATACAGGGAAGAATTATTACAATAATTTCGAAGTTCAATAATAAAAACTTTGTGCTTTATTATTTATGGAAATTGGAAAAATTATATTGGTTTATACAGCGTTGAAACTTTTAGTTCTTGGGAAAAAGAGGCAGAAAATAACAAACTGTAAACCATTAATCAAACTCCTTTTTGAAAGCGCTCATTCATTATCTGAACTAATCAAAGGAGAAATGCAGCAGCTGTTTTAGAAAACATTTATTTTCTTTTTCACTGTTATTTACTTATGTTGAAATTTATTTTGACTCTAGGCAAAAGGCAAAGGTAGGTAGATAATAATTCTGACATATTGTTCTATTGAAAATAAGATATCTTCACGGTGTTTTGAGTATTATCTAATTTCCCTGTATAGTGCTTTTCTACATGTAACATAATTTTTTAAACATAAAATTGAATAAATATCGATGTTAATCAATTGTAAAAAGTTTATTATAAATATTTTGTTAAAAACGAATTAGAAAATTTATAGGTGTATGTATGTTAGAATTTTTATATTTTTTCTGTTGTGCTGTCTTTGTATATGAACATTATAAAATTTAATGTTTAAAATAAAGAGCTAAAAACATTGAAAAGAAAATATGTAACATCTTTTATATTTACATATCCACAATTTAGGTGAGAAGGAAACAAACAAAACAATTTTTGACTGAACTTTTTATTGACATAAAGAGTACACTTTGGTTTAACAAATACAACAACAAAAATGATACAATATCTTACGAATAAAACAAATAAAATCGCAACAGGATTTTTATTAAATGCGATAATTATTTCAAATATTTAATTTTACTTGAAAACATTCAGAGAAATTCAGACTAAGACAAAAAACTGTTTATTTATAATGCTGTTAAGATACATACATTTTTTACTACAATAGATGGCAGTGTTTGTAATTTTTCAAAAAATTCACTAAATAAACATCAAATTAATTTCTCAAAAATCATTCATTAACATACCTACTTAATAATAATTACTAATTAAAAAATTATCTTTCTCTCTTTACCCCCCAATTCCTGTTAAATGGTTGATGTTACCCTCCCTCAAAAAAAAAAGTAGCTATTACAAAAACAAAATCACCTACATCAAGTTTGTAATTAAAAAATATGACAGAAGATGATGGAATAATTGCGCTAGTAGGTATTGTGTAAATATTAAAAAAAAAAGAAATGGACTAAAATAGATTTTATGTATATCACACAACAATATTTGTTTATAGTACAATACTTATTATAATAAAATTATTATATAATTTTGAAAAAAGAGTTTTATTTTGCCTAAAAAAACATGTTTAGAGCCAAATTATGGACTGACTGGTGAACGTCTGGTTGTTACCTAGCTAGTGATGTGAGTGGTGTGGGAAATTTCCGAGAATATTCGCTGATAAAAAATGGAAACGGAAGAATTTTAAAAAAATGCGAGATTATTGCGAATACAAGTTCTCAGTGACGTCATTTCAATTTATGTGGATGACGTAGCCCCTTGAGATTAGTTGTATTCCTTTCAAAAAAATAGTTAGACTAACTGTCTTTATGGAAACGCTGATACGATTTACCCGATCAACAGCTGATGTACCTACAGTTTGTCTTTTTTTTAAATAATATTCATAGAAGAAAGATAAAAAAATAAGGAGCTGAGAGATTGGGTTAATCGGATTTTTTCCTTCAAAGCCTTATTCAACCGTCCATAAAAGTGGTTATACTACATAGTTTAATTTTTAACTGATCTTACAGAAAAAAATAGGTGTTTTTTTTTTGGTTTATAGTCTATAATCAGTACACTACAATAATAGGTAAATAAAGCTTACTAAGATTTGTCTGATTTAGCTATAAATTAAAAAAAAAAAAGAATATTTCCATAAATTCCCAAAAGTTTCCAATATTTCCGGAAAGTTTCCAAGAATGTTCGCGGCTTTTGAATGTTTCGGGAATTTTACATCATTATACCCAGCAGGTACTTTCTATGCCCTAGAGAATACAAAGTACCTGCTAGATAACAACCAGACACTTACCAGTTGGTCCATAATTTGGCCCTTAGAATTATTATTTCTAATTCAATTCAACAGACAAACTAAACTAAATATCACTGTAATTACACAAGTCACTTTTTTTGTAGAAAAAAATATGGTGTCTAAAATACCAGATGTTTAGAAATCAGGATTAGTTTGTGCTGGAGCTTGCTTCATCTACAACTTCTCCTTTTGATTGTTTTTCTATAGTTTCTGCAGTATATTCCTAAAAATATGTACCAAATTAGTTGCAAAATACTGATACACCGAATTCCATAAAAGGCTTGTTCAGCATATTATTTTTATTGCATATTCTAAAAGAGCGTGTTGAATTTAGCAGTTCTGCAAAATTTCATCATTTCCTGAGCCCTTGTTCATATTTAAATAAATTATCAAAATACTCCAAATTTGAAACACGCGGTGACGTCACTGCATCTCTCACGTTGATGCTGGTACGCCAGTGACTTCGACAATATGGGCATTGTTTTGACAAGTTTTGGTTTGGCATCGTTTAGACAAGTTTCAGTTAGGCATTTCATGTATCTGGTAGAACTGGATTTTTTTCTTTCGAATCACATTTTATATATTTGAATAATTCCCTGAGTTTCAATATTTTATGAGCACAATTATTATGGAAGTAGCATGCAAAACGAAAAACTATAAATATTGCATAGTTCCGCAAACTGTGTGCCAAACTGTCAGTAGAAAATCAGTTAACATTGCGTTATGCAAAACCATGTGTGAAGGCCTTTAGCCTGTCTCGACGTGAGAGATGCTATGACGTCACAGCAATGAATTTCCGAGACATAACTGTTTTAATATTAAAAAACGCGTAACTTTTTTAATATTTATTCAATTGAGCTGAACTTTTTTCTACGTGCTATACGTTATTAATACTCCATAAAAATGTGAAAAACTGTGCTAATGAAATTTCATTGAACGAGCCTATTCCTTACCCAATATTTTGCCCTGATTGTATCATAATTTGTGGCTAAACTGTTGCACAATTCCATGGCTCTGGCTACAGTATAAAGATTGTTTCCGTCTCCAGCTCCATCCTCGGCTGCTCTCTCAGAACACATATCAACTATGAGAGCTAAAAGGAAAGGAGATCTGCTGCCATCTTTGTATAAAGATTCACAGAACTCTGTTACTGTTTTATTACGACTCAAACCAGTTTTGTCATGTAAAAGAAGACTAAAAAAAAATAAATGCAGAGTAGAATATAAAATTTTAAAAACAATAGTAATTTGTTTACCCTCTTAAGTAATTCCATGCACTTTCATTGTCTTGTAATTCAAGTATTTTCTCCAAAGTGAATTGAATTTCTCTAGAAAGTACATCTTCTGTAAACCCAGTGGTATTATTGACAACAAAATATCTTTGGTTCCAAGCAGAATTATTTTTCACGTCGTCTTTTAAAAGTTGTTCAACATAATCCAATTCTCCATCAAATAAACTAAAAATCAACTCCTAATAAAATAAATAAAACAAAACATCAATTCTTACTCAAAAGTCTTGATAACCCATTGCCTGTGCTGCCAGGCGTGATAATTTTTGGCATCCTTGGACAAAGCCTTTTCAGTGAAATATTTCTCCTTGGAAGGGTCTTTTAGCCATTCAACTAAAACCTTTCTGTGATGCCAAACTTGATAGTTTTTAGTTTGTTTTAGAATCACTTTTTCAATGTACTTGAGTTCTTCATGGAGGTCTTTGTCTAGTGCTTTTAGAATTTCCCTCCTGGAATTTACATAGGTAATAACTTTGAGACAAAAAAGTTCCAATGAACTGTAACTCATACAGATTTATTGTCACAAGAAAATCACGCAAGTGTTATATTATAAAGTACCACACCCTGTAACTTTTTTATGTACAGGGTAGCCCAAATTCGAGCCTCATCATTGGGATCTCAGTAACCGTAAGAGATACGGGATCAGTTAAATTATGGCAAAGTTGCGCAATTTTATGACCAATAGAATGCCGTTTTGAAACAAGAAAGATTCCGAATACTTCCGGAGATATTCGGAAAAAAACCGAAATTTTGTAAAATCGTTTTTATTTTTTCCTGGGCTTATTTTGAAGAGCGATTTCAAAATAAATGTCACTTCATCATTGTCACTTTTCCCTCTTTAGAAGATGGTGCTACTAAATTTAAAATTCGACGTTTCGTCTTCAGGCGGCCATCCTCAACTTACGTTTTTTAAATACGGACCTAGATTTTTTATTGGTGATTTTGTCATCTTTGGGCATCTTAAAACCGATATTGTTTATAATTTTTCAATAACACGGTAAAAAAAGCAGGTCCATATTTAAAAATAAATAAATTGATGATGATTCCAGAGGCTCGAAACGTTGGATTTCAAATTTAATACCGTCATCTTGTAGAGAAGAAAAAGGGACAATGGGAATGGGGAATTAGTTTTTTAAAATCTTTTTAAATGGAATCAGGAAAAAAATTTAAAAAAACGAGAAATTCATGTTTTTTCGTATAGTTTTCATTTTTTCCCGATTTTATTCAAAAAGTTTGTGAAAAAATAATTTTACATTCCCATTGTCACTTTTTCTTCTCTACAAAATGGCGGTATTAAATTAAAAATCCAACGTTTCGTTCCTCTGGAATCATCATCAATTTATTTTTTTCAAATACGGACCTGCTTTTTTTACTGTGTTATTGAAAAATGATGAACAGTATCAGTTTTAGGATGCCCAAAGATGACAAAATCGCAAATAAAAAATCTAGGTCCGTATTTAAAAAATGTAAGTTGAGGATGCCCTCTTCAACTCAACTGTCAATATTACATGCCATTGCAATGATTTCCACTGTACAGGGTGGCCCAAATTCGAGCCTCATCATTGGGATCTCGGTAACCATAAGAGATATGGGATCGGTTAAATTATGGCAAAGTTGCGCAATTTTATGACCAACAGAGTGCCGTTTTGAAACTAGACAGATTTCGAATACTTCCGGAGATATTCGAAAAAAACCGAAATTTTGTAAAATCGTTTTTATTTTTTCCTGGGCTTATTTGAAAAGCAATTTCAAAATAAATGTCACTTCATCGTTGTCACTTTTTCCCCTTTAGAAGATGGTGCTACTAAATTTAAAATTCGAAGTTTCATCTTCAGGCGGCCAGCTTCTGTACTTGGATCTCTTTAAATTTTGGCGTGTAAAAATTCGATTGTAATTCTAACCTCAAAACAGAAGTTTGATGTGTGGTTTCAAGACAAGCTGACGCTGACACTTTTAAAAATATTCTCTAAGGGCCACTGAACGCTTAAGAAGATATTTTAACTTATCCATTGTCCATTGTTCATATGTAGTCATCTTTCTCTCTACTCAGTTTAATCCAATGTTTAATCAGTTTTAAACTATTGACATTTACCGCCAAAATTTAAAACACTCCAAGTTCACTCGCGCCCTCTACAAAATTTTGCGGAACTTAACTGGATATTTGCTGCCATTGGCACACACTATGTAAATATCCCTTGTAATGTGGAAAATTCAATATGGCGTGGCGGCCAAGCAAGCTTGTTTTGAATATGTTTTTATGTGTATTTTAAATTATTTTGCTTAGAGTTTTGCTTGTAACTTTGATTTTGATTATTTAATACGATATTTGTTGTCTAGGTACCTAAACTATTAAGGGCAGGTATTATAAAACACTTTGAGAGTTAACTTAAAGTTAATTTCTGGAATTACATGTAATTCAAAAAGTTAACTTCAAGTTAACTGTCAAAGCAGTTTTATAATACCCGCCCTAAATCGGGCAGAAACTCAAACTCAAAATGTGCTTTATTGTGTATATATGAATATTTGTTCACAAAAGCTGATCCTATGTCTAAAAACTAGATTTTTTTTTGTGTTTTTTGGCCCATATGTGGCTGCCACGCCATCTTGAGTGTCACGTGGTTTGAATTGCCTAATAGCATAATAGTTGTATTCCTTTCAAGAGCTTGAAACACTCGAGCTACTTGCTCCGGTGTTTAGTCGCCCCCGATTTGCAGGAAACAGATGCGTGGTGCAACAAACACTTTTTGAAAGGAATAAGCGTGTGAAGCCCCAGAGCTGTTCCAGAGCTCCTCCTAGGTGTGAAAGGAATACAACTATAGCTGCACTAAATAGATTCATTGGTTAGAATTTTGACTTAATACGGAATACGGGGGATTTCAAAGAGTGTGTGCTAATGCCTAATTGCAATGATTCCGACTGTACAAACACTGACTGCCAAATTCCACAATCTTTATAAGAATTTGCTCAGATTATGGGTGGTATGAATAAAAATGAGCATTTAGTTTCTACTCCAAATTTTGGAGTAAATACTCCAAGTGGTATGAATAAAAACTATGAGCAGATATTTCGCCCCTATGTATAATTTGGTATGAGTAGATTCTCACTTTTGGTATGAATAAAAAATTGTTTGTGCTCTTCGGCAGGAGAATCTACTTCATAGTTTTAGTCTGCTATGCAGTAGACCCAACTTTCTGCTTCAAGTTATTTCAGTACCGATTTTCCCTCGGTAGAACGCAGAGCTATGGCAGAGTTCTTCAATCTTAGCCTGCGTTCGGAAAAATTTTACAAAGCTAGAAAAAATACGTATGATCGGGACTTTAAAATGTTGTACCGGTTAAGTAAAGAAATATTGGAGTGGTTATCAAATCAATTTTTGGGTGGAGAGTCTGGAGAAAGAAGAGGTGGTGTTTTATGCAACAAAGACAAATTTAAAATATTTTTAAGATACGTGGGTGACCCGGGCTTTCAGGGAGGAGTATACAAAGATGTGGTGTTCACCAAACTTTGGTGTCTAAAGTTGTTTAGGAAGTAGCTGATAAGATAATTCAACAAAGTGAATGGTGGAACAAATTTCACCGCAGTTCTGCGGATATAATATTAGTCCGGGACATATTTCATTGTACCATTTCCGCAAGCTTCATTCTTTTTGTATGTGTTATGCGTGTAGTATATGATAGTAATATGAACGTCTGCCGGTGCACCAACACGACAGTGGGTTACAGGAGGGTTACAATTACAGCAAAAAATGAAAGAAAAAAACTTAAAGCCGCATAAGCGAAACTTATTGTACGTATTGGTAGAAACATAGAAAGCCCAGAAAATATTATCTGCCACCTAAATTCCACAACAAAAGTCGTCTGCCACCCACATAAGTAAGCGCAAAAAAAAAATTAAAAAAAAAAATATATTCGCAAGGCTGAAATTAATTAAAATACTTCTTTTTATGGAAACAAACACAAACATAATAGTCTGCCACGAATAAGATACAACGAAGATTGTCTGCCAAGCCTATGAAGTTGGGTTCGGCATGCAGTGCCCGAGCACCACCGCTAGGAAGCTGCATTTTTCTCTTATTCCTATTTATTTAATTTTTTTTTGTAAGGCTAACCAAAATGAATTGTGGAAAGGTCAACTCTAATGTTCTAGAGTTCTTAATGATATTATAGAAGGATTCATCGCGTACACTCAAAATGGAAATGAAGATTTTCACTTGGAATATTTATTTTCTTTTTTTGACACTTGTCAAACTCACTGTAAAAATAAATAATTTCAGCCTTGCCGGTATAATTTTTTTTAAATTTTTTACTTTTGTGGGTAGCAGACGACTTTTGTTGAGGAATTTAGGTGGCAGACCATATTTTCTATGTTTCTACTAATACGTACAATAAGTTTCGCTTATGCGGCTATAAGTTTTTTTCGTTAATTTTTTACTGTAATTGTAACCCTCCTGTAACCCCCTGTCGTGTTGGTGCGCTGGCAGACGTTCATATTACTATCATATACTACACGCATAACACATACATAAAGAATGAAGCTTGCGGAAATGGTACAATGAAATATGTCGTTAACTCCCTGACTATATATATTATCCATTCACAATCCGATGTCCACAGGTACAGGTAAAATTTATCACCTTTCAATGATATTTGATAGGGAAAGGTGATAAATTTTCCTGTACCTGTGGACATCGGATTGTGAATAGGATATAGAGGCGAAAGAGCGGTGGCAAGCAAAATAAAATGTTGAGTATCTACTCTATGTACTAGGAGTATGTACTTATTAAACCGAAATCTTTTTTATTCTTACGAAATGGAGTATAAGCTCAGACTTCATACTCATGCTCACGAGTATATACTTCGAGTTTAAACTCAGTTTTTATTCATACCACCCATTGTCTGAGGATTATGAGAGATTGTGTACGGATTGTAGGATATTGTGTAACAATTGTGTATTGATTGATTACCCGAGGGGTCCACCACTATGCTTACAAAGGTTTAGAATGAGATGATATTTCCAGCGATTACCACATGATTCTCAGCGATTGCCAATGGATTCCCATGTGATTCTCATAAAGTCCTAGGTCCTAGGATATTCCTAGGTTATTCCCAGGAACTCCCAAACCCAAATGATTTCCATGTATTCCTGATTGATTACTATGTGATTCCCAAAAAAAACATACAACGATTTCCACTAGTGGTTTACCCCTTGGTTTTTCACAACAAACAATAATGTTACTCATCGTGTTTATATCATCATATATATCAAACACTTTATTAGCAATAAAAAGCTCTTACAAAATGATTTTATTAAATATTTTAAACCAGTAGGTATATACCCAACATGGAATGTCTGGAAAAGTATTCAACAAAGTCTATAAAGTTCTTACATATTTTTCACATTCAGTCTTAAATCTAGAGTAGGAGTCACATTGCTTCAATTCTGCGGGTATACTGTTAAACATTCTTAAGCCTACACTAAACAAAGTGTCACTCTGAAAATCACTAATGTAAAAATTATTTACCACATTGGATCGCGTTTGGTATGAATGAACATCTCGCACATAAGTAACTTCATCAGATAAATTTAATATGATGGTAACATATTATGTTTTAGTTTGAAAACAAAAGTTAGCATTATGTAAGTAGATCTTTGTTGTACATTCATAAGGTCTAATTTCTCCAGCATGGATTTCATTGGTGTTCTTTTGTTACAAAGTAATATTGCTCTCATGCAACGATTTTGCAGTTTTTGTAGCATGTCTCTTTGAGTCAAACTTAGATAATGATACAATGTACCGCAATATTCGAAATGAGGAGCAATTATTGACTTAAAAATAGTGAGTTTAGCGAAAAGTGAAATCTTGTTATTCAATCTGTAAAGAAAACCTGCTTTTTTTGCTATTTTCTTTTTTATGTAGTCACAGTGCAAGGATAGATTAAGTTCGGGATCCAGCATTACACCCAAATATTTGAAAGATTTAACCTGTTCTAAGATATCGTTATTCATAATTATTTTTACTGCTGCATTAGTACTTTGTCTTTGAACTTGATTAAGGCAATGTTTAGAACCAAGAATCATGAATTTCGACTTTGCAACATTTAGTTTTAAACCATTTTCTATGAGCCACACATCAATATTTTCAAGATCTTTGTTTAACAGTTTTTCCATTAATGTTATTTCATCAATATCACAGACAAAATAAAGCAAAGTGTCATCTGCGAATAATTTTATTTGACAATGTTTGACATGAAAAACTATATCATTGATGAACAACAGGAAAAGAATAGGTCCCAATACTGAACCCTGAGGAACCCCTTGATCTATGCCTATGCTATTGGAATTGGCATTTTTAAATTTAACCTTCTGAAATCTCTCACTTAAGTATCCTTTGAAACATTTTAGTACTATGCCTCGAATACCATACTTTGCCAGTTTTAGTAACAAAAGATCAATGTTTACTGTCTCAAAAGCTCTACTGAGAGCCAAAAATACTACACCAATGACTTTTTTCTTCTGTATTTGAGATTTCCAACATGATATCAAAAACTGCAAAGCCGTTTCGCATGAATGTTTTTGTCTGTATCCTGATTGTTGCTCTACCAAAATATTATTTCTATCCAAATAATGAAGCAGCTGATCCTTCACCAGCAATTCCAAAACCTTTTCATAAACTGGTAATGTGTTTATGGGCCTATGTTCTGAACAAAGTATTGATTTTGGGACCTTTTCGATTGGGACTACAGTGGAACATTTCCAGGCATCAGGAAAAACTCCCTGTGATAGAGATGTACTTATTTATCAAATCTAGGAAAAATTCTCCTGCAATATCAAGAGCTAATTTAAGGGTGTTCAAGTCGATTCCGTCTTGATCACTGGAGCCCTTCCCCATGCCTAAAACTTTCAAGGATAACATTTCCCAGTCAACTGAATGAAAGCTGTCGAAGGAACAACCAATTTGTGACATTCTTTCCAACACAAAATCTAAACCCTTTACATTTTTTGTTGATTTCACTAAGTCTCTAATGCTGTTTACAAAATAAGTGTTGAAATTATCTGCTATTTCCTGATCATTTTCCAAAATTACAGCTTCAAATTTTATTTTAGATATTTTTTCAACTTTTTTACCTGAAACTAACTCCTTTATTGCTTTCCACATATTTTTACTGTCATATTTACTATCATCAATTTTTTCCTCATAGTATTTTCGTGTTTCATGTCTCAATTTAATTCAGGATTTTATTATTAGACTTCAATAAAACTTACCTGTACTGCCACACAGTGAAATTAGCAGCATTATAGCTTGCAGCTGTTTGTGTTAGCTCTAAAGCCCTTTCTGAATACTCTTTCTTATGAACTATTGCTCTAAAATAGTCAAAGCAATCCTGAACTGAAAATACACAAAACAAATTATTATTGTGACTTTTTCATGGATCTGGGGCTAAATCATTTAAAATCCCTACACAAAAGTTGTTCGAGGGTTTAAACCGATTGCCCTGCAACTCGTCTCTTAATTAAAGTATTCAAATATTTCAGTAAAATTACCAATTACTCACATTCCAATGTATAATCAATAGCCACAACTGGATAATCGCCATCGTCTTGCTTCAAAGGTGTAATGTCCTGCCATTCAGGCCTGTTTTTGTATAGAACTCGTTGAGAGTCGCCTTCATCACTACTGCTCTCAGTACTTTCACTCATTTTTAGTTGTTTTTCTAATTTATATTATGAAATTTTCTAAAAACAATTATTTTTACGAATATGATAAATCAAAAACCACTAAAAAACTTTTGATTTTGATTTTTTAAAAACTGTCAAATGTCAAGTAAAACTCAATTATATGTCAAGAACAGCCTATGAAAGGTGGGTTTGGCTTTCTCACTCCGTGCACTCGGAGTGACTCCATTCGCACTCCAGCCGTTCGGGTATTGCTTTTTACCGTATTAGGGGTGACTCTATTAACTCAGTTCACTCCACTCCAACTCCGCGCTGAATAGCCGAACCCAGCTGAAGGTTTTCATTTTTACCTGTTCGATCTGCTCCAAGCGGATCTAGAACCCATCTCGAAAGAGGTGAAGACTGAGGGCAACTTCTGATTTACTGTATTCCTTTTATATATCCAGTTACACCGAACGAGCTCCTCGGAGTCATTCCAAAATACACAATTCAGATTTTATCATTATTCTTTAGTATTAACATTACCGTCATTACCTAAAAGGCCTTCTTGCACCCCCTGCAAATTTGGTGCATCAGTGGTAAGGGGGATGCACTATGAGCGACTCAAGTGCTTAACGCACTTTTAAAAGGAACGTTCAAGCTTTTGACATTGAGCAGCTCAGAGTAACTCAACGGGTAAAAGTAATAGTAATTGGTGCGGGTGCGTGTCATTTGCCATCTTTTTCCTGAATCCTGACATAACCTTGAATTACCTTGTTTAACAAACCTGCTGCATCCTGTGAATTCAAAACCGTTTTTTTTTTTTAAATTTCATATTTATTTTAATGAAAAAGTGTTGTAAAAAGACTGATTTTAAAACCAACTCCAAATGGATTCTTTCTATGATGCTCCTAGGCGTCCTCCTACACCCATAGCCAGAGAAACGGTATGTAAACAACCCAAACCAATAACAATCCTTTATAAATCTATTCCTATTTTTCAAGTTATCGGCAGAACCTGTGGTTCCCGAAATATCGGTCTTGTGTACTTCGAACAATGCCCCTAGAAACACCTTTACATCTTACAACCAATGGAAACACCATCAAAACAATTTTTTGGGGCCCAATAAGGAAAATGTGAATAGTTGTGTACAACAGCCACAGAACAGTTCCATTTTAAAAAAACATGTTAGATTTGAGAATCCTGTGCTTCAACAAAAGCCTCCAGATATTCTTAAACCGTTAAATTTGTATCAAAATAATAAGGGTGGCAAACAGGCACTCACCTTTCAACAAATTTATATGGGCAATGTACCTAGTAGGCAATTGGATCTAAGTATAATGGATTTTCCAAAAAAAGTATCTCCGATTAAAAATAAGAAGGTTTCACTATCACCAACTAAACCACAAAAGAAAGAAACTCCCAAGACTTATAAAGAGTTTATGGAAACTCAAAAAAAACCCAATGATATTGTCTTTAATGATTCTGTTACAGATATATTTCATTATAACAATTCAAAAACTAAACAGAAAATCACAGAGCATCATAATCACACTAAGCCTCAACAGAATATAGCAGAGCAAAATAATATTCAAAGCCATCCAGCTGTGCAAGAAAATAATTTTGAAAGAGTTGCTCGAGCTTATTTACAAAGACAATCTCCACAAAATGATCAAATACAAAACATCCCTCAAGATTTTTTTCAAAGACAATCTCCACAAAATCATCAAACACAAAACAAGCCTCAAGGGTTTTTTAAAAACCAACAACCAACTTCCAATGATGGTTTTGAATCACATGATTTTCCAATGTATTCTTGCACTTATCAATCGCAATCACAAAATAATGAAATGCCTAGATATAGTCAAAATGAAACCAGAGAAAAACTACCTTCAACAAATATTCAAAGAACTGAAATTAATACACCAACATTTAAACAAAATTTTTCAGAACATCAGAGAGTATTTGATAAAGATCATGTACCAAAAAACAAAGAATCTCCAAAAACTTGTGTTTGTTGCTCTGAAACTCCTAAACACCCAAATAATAAGGCTGACGATGATCTTTCCACTAAAGATTTATTAAAAATAATTGCTCAACAAAGCCAACAAATCACAAACCAAAACAGCCAAATTCTATTGTTGCAACAGCAAGTTACTGAGCTAGTTTCCATGCAAAAAAATAATGAAATTTATAGACAAAGAATGGTAGAAACAGGCCATTGTTGTCAGCGTGACGGTAATAGTTATCAAAAAAAAATACCAATTGAGCAACCTAATGATAATTTTCTGAAAAATGGATATGTTCAAGAAGAATGCATTACAAGTACTCAACGTGAAATATTTAATGAAGTTGAAGCAAATAAGAATAAAAACAACCAAATGCCATTCTCAATCGGTTTGACTACAAGCTTTGAGGTATCTTTTAGAAGACCCAATAATAGGGTAAGAATATTTTAATTATGCTAAATTCAATAGAATGAGATGAGAATTCTTTTTAAGGCTCCCAATGACATTATTTATCAACAAAGAAATCCTAAGCTGCTAGATTTGGAATCTGAAACACCAAAAATTCAAGAAATTACAGAAACTGAATCAACAAAGTCTGATAGATATGATGCACAGCAGGTTAATGCAATTGATAATAATAAAGGAACACTAGTTGACACTTCAATGGTGTTCAAGGAACCTATACAAGTTAGAGAATCATGTCCAAGTCCTGAACCTAGTATTAAGATAAACATGAATGATTTTGACGAATCTGAATCGTAAGTTTAAAATACTCTTAATGTAAAAATATAAAATAAAATAATTTCAGGGATGAAGAGGATTCTTCACAAGTTGAAGTCAGTTTTTACAGAAATCTTATGGTGCGTATTTTATTTGGACTATTGTTTGTGTGAAAATGTTTGTTTAAATTCTAGTCTCAAGTAAATAAGATTTTGCAAAGGGCCCAAATAGACACAGGAGAAGATTTTGGCACTTCAAAATTAAATAACAAAACAATACACAAAGTGAAAGAAGCCACAATGAAACATTTGAAGAGAATTGGTATTGATATGCCTAATTTTGAAGAGTCTCCAGGAAGTAACAGGTGACAAATTTATTTAATTTTCTACAAGCGTGCGGGAAATGGCTCTTCCCGCACAAGAGTTTGAAATAATTTTTGTGACATGGAATTGTTTGTATTGTTGATACACATCTACCTCGTAGAAAAAATATAGTTCCTAACTTTTGCGGGAAGAAATTTCCGCACTCGTTAGGAAAATAGCTATTTTCTACGAGCATGCGGGAAATTACTCTTCCCGCACGATTTGCTGCACTTACCTTTCTAGAAATACCTTTTAATACATTTTTAATTCTACCTTCTGCATAATCGCATTTTATTTAAATTAAACTTTTAGTATGCTCGTAGAAAAAATATAGTTCCTAACTCTTGCAGGAAGAAATTTCCCGCACTCGTTAGGAAAAGAGTTATTTATTATACAAGGGAAAATTGGGAAAAAAGTACTAGATTTTTGTTTGTCTCCCGACGCGAAGCGGAGGGAGACAACACAGCGACCGCTAAAATCTTACTTTTTTCCCATGTATAATACACTATTTTTTTTCTGTGACGGGAAAATCTCAACATTTTCCATCTATACATTATCCCTTTTGAGAGAAAAATTTGACTGGTATCTGTTACTTTTTTCCTGTGGGAAAAAAAAAATTACTTTTTTCCCATGGGAGAAAAAGTGACATTTTTGCCCCTGTCAACAGGCACAAAATTTTCCCCGTCACAGAAAAATAGCTATTTTTTCTCAAATAGTGGTTGAATGTCAAATGAATTTCCAGTTCTTCAGAAGACCTGCATGGACAGTCATACGACCAAGACGACATCAGTTTTGCAGTTAAGCAACTTTTGATGAAATATCTCCCAGCAGATCATTTGTCCAAGCTAGCGGCAACTGCCAAAGCGGATGCTCGCTTGACACCCAAAGAAAAAGTTGGTGCTATTAAAAATCGACCAGAATTCTCTTTTGCCACAGTAGAATACATGAAGAAGTATAATTTGATAGCAAATAATCAAAAAGGTTAGTAGGTTACAGGTTAATTTTCCAACTTTTTCACTGTTGAATCTTTTCAGATTTCAACAAAGTACATAAGCAAACATCATCAAAACAGTCCCCGAAAATTTTGGATATTTCCAAACTAAAACAGCAACCAAAACTTTTATAATATTCAATGGTTAGTGAAGTGATGTGACAATAAAATAGAGATTATTTATTTGTACTTATAGTTTAAGATTTTTATCATGTTTTTAATAAAAAGATTTTGAATTAGCACTAACATTATGTACTTTAGTTTAAATGCTTTTTCTAATTTAATTTTTCTGTAACTTTCAATAATAACTATTGGATGCATCTAGAGTAAATTCCACTAAATGAATTGAATGTTCTATTGAAAGCAAAAGTGGTAATACATGGGAAAAATTTATGTGGATATTTTGATCAATAAATGGATACTGCACAAAAATTTTGTTGCCTGACTTTTGAATCAGAAAGTTCAGTTTTTTAATGGTCATTTCTTCTCTAAGAGAGAACTTTTCCTAAGGCCCGGTTGTACAATCCAGGTTCAAACAGAGGTTCAGTTGAACTCTATAGGTACTTGAACCTTCCCATTTGAAATGCATTGCTGTCAAAAACATGCCAAAGTGTACATTTTTTGACAGCAATGCATTTCAAATGGGAAGGTTCAAGTACCAGTAGAGTTCAACTACACTTTATTTTTTCTCAAGATAGATTTTGACATTGAAAACTTTGAAACATAAACAATAACACGACCCTGATTGGTCGCAAAATGAGGTGTTTCTGCAGGTTGACATCAGTTTTACAATTGCGACCAATAAGCGGCATTGTTTATGTTTCAAAGTTGACAATGCCAAAATCTATCTTGGGAAAAAATAAACTATAGACCTCTGTTTGAGCCTGGATTGTACAACTGGGCCTAAGTGTGTTTTTCCAAATTCCAAACTCAGTTTCTATAAGAAATTTTGTGTAAAGTGATCTTCTCAGCTTTCTATAATGGAGACTCTTGAAGAAATCGGAATATGTGGATAATTTATTTCATTTTGTTATTCAGTCGAAAAGTTCGAATAAGATCTCTAATTTGGGGTGGGTTTTTGGAGTAAATAAAAACCAATTTCTTATATACTTTCCCACTGATGGGTATTTACATTTTGAATTCACCTATAATTTAAAATTACTTACCTAGAAATATAATGAAATATGTAATCTTAAATTTAGGTAGGTACAATATCTTTTTCAGGTAAGTAGATACCTACTAAAAGAAATTATGCCATACAAGTTTTAAATGACTGCACGATTTTAACAGTGCAATGGCAAAAGTAAATGTGCAGCAAGACAATTTCGATTAATAAATAAATTTCCTAGCTAATTTTTAATAATTTACTACAGAGTAGGTATTTCAAACTTTTATCACACACTAAAAGATTCTCCACAGCCACAAGTTCCTTTTATGTTTGGATTGTTAAACACAAACTCCGCACTCAATTTATTTTGTACATAGTCCATTTCAGTGCCTAGTAGAGTAAGTTGGGCTTTTTTATCTATAAAGACTCTAACTCCGTCTTGGACTACTTCTTCATCTAGTTTTTCTAAATAAAATATATTCTTTTTAGAAACAGGAAGGTTTCTCAATCAACAACTAATAGGTAGTTGATAAGATTGTTTCTACACCTCTACATAATTCAGTCAATTATATGTATAGGGTGTTCCATTTTGGTTGTACAGGGTGTCCAAGATTCGATGGTTTTGGTGGGTTTTGGGTATTTCTGGAGGAGTTGGAAAAAATCTGATCCCCACTTGCGAGCATCGATTTTCAAGAGAAGTTGACCGGTGAAATCCGCATCTCGATATCTCGATTCGTTTTTGAAATACAAAAAGTTATACAGTGTGTCCACTCAAGTTCGCAGCATATAGGTAACTTTTTTATTATCAATTTCACGTGTACAAGGTGGTCAAAAAATATAAACATATGTACCAGGTGTCCCACTAAAGTCGGCCAGCTACGATATTATGGAAACCATAGACCTTACGGCTTTGGGATTTTTTTTTCTTCACTAAATCGGCCAAGAGAAATTGATGGAAATTATTTTCAAGTTTCTAGGATGACCGCTAGGGCGCGCAATTACAATGATATAGCTAAAAATTCAACTTTTCTCAAGAAATCGCTATATTAAGATACTGTTTTAACAACAGAAATCAAAAGTTCATTAATTTTTGCGCTAGTTTGGTTATTAAGCTTTTTTTCGTATCTTCAGTAATAAGGGTTGGGGAAGCTGATGAATTTTTTTTTTAGAAATTGCTGTATCTTCCATACCCCTCATTCAATTTGGGTTTATTTGGAAGAGAATTTCATTGTTATTAAGAACACCACTTCATTCGAGATCGATAGTTCCCACCAAGTCGTCTAGAGGGCGCTGTTTATCAAGATCCAGTTTTTTCCAATTTTCAAAATGGCATAATATTATTTTTGTATTGCTGTGTCCAAAGAGCAAAAAAATATCTACATTTTGGCGCAAACCGCAATTCAATATCTGCATTCGTTTTCAAGTTACGTAAGGTCTATGGTCTCTACAATATCGTACCTGGCCGCCCTTAGTGGGACACCCGTATATAGGGTGTTTCGTAAGTACGGTTCGTAACTTCAAGATGTGATTTCTTACAATATTTTAAGAAAAAAAGTTCCGTACGTATGCGTAGTTTCTGAGATACAGGGTGTCAAAGTTTTAGAAAAAATCGTTTTTTTAGCTCGAAAATACCTTTTCCAATTTTTTTTCTTCAAATTTGGCAGGTTTGTTTGTGATAACGAAAGGTATTTTTTGAGTGTAATATGACTTGCATAATCTGAAAAAAATATCAAAGGTTTTAAAAAATAGTGACTGTACATTTTTCTATTTTGTGACCACCCTGTACATGCTATTTCAAGTTTTAATAGTTTAACACTATTATTTCAAGAAGCAGAAACTTTTATAAAGAATAACTTTTTTTCGTAAAATTGATAATAAAAAAGTTTCCCATATGCTGCGAACTTAAGTGGACACACTGTAGAACTTCGAACGACTCGACATATCGAGTTGCAGTTTTCACCAGGTCAATTTTTCTAGAAAATCGATGCTCGCAAGTGGGGATCAGATATTTTCCAACTCCTTTAGAAATATTCGAAACCCCCCAAAAACCATCGAATCTTGGACACCCTGTACATGAGGGATAACTCAGTTGCTATTACAGTTAGAACGATGTGGTTTGCGCCAATGCTGGCTACTTTTCTGGTGCAGTGCCATTTCAAACTTGTTTTAACCAATGTTAAAAAAGTGGAAAACACCATTGCCCGTTTCAAACCTGTTTTGAACCAATGTCAAAAAAGTGGACACAAGGAAACGGCCAAGGTGTTTTTGAAAATGTTGCATTTTGGGACACCCCTTGTATCTTGGCTCTCTCATAAGTGATAGAAAGGGTGACAATGGGTTCTTATAGATCTTTCTACATAGGTTCCAGTGGTGTATACAGTTTTCTCTAGAAGTTAGCGTTTACAATACAAACCAAGCATACATTTTTTTCAAATGAGACACCCTGCATATTGATAACACATCAAATAGCTTTGCTTTTCCTGATTTTAATGATATAAAATTCGATAGATTTCTTATTATATCTGTTTTTGTCTGTCACAAGAAACAATGTGTTAGAAAAGAACGCTATATCTGTAAGGAAAACAAGAAAATGAGGAAGGTCTCTTTCTAGCATGTCTTAAGACAAAAACAGATATATATTTTTTCTCAACTTTAAGAGATAAACCTATATGTATTTGTATCATTGAAATCAGCAAAAACAGAGCTATCCAATGAGTTATTATTATACAGGGTGTCTTATTCAAAAAAATGTATGTTTGGTTTATAACTTAAAAACTATCACTTCCAAAGAATAGATATAGATACTGACCCTTCCAATAAAATCTAGGAAGTAAGATCTATAAAAACCCATTGTCACACTTATGAGAGAGCCAAGACACAAGGGGTGTCCCAAAATGAAACTCCAATACCAACTGAGTTATCCCTCATGTACAACCAAAATGGGACACCCTGTACAATTATTGAAAGTTCAATACTTGCCTCTTTTTGTTGCATAATCCAATGTATAGGAAAGACCATTGCACCCCCTTTGTCTAACGCCAATTTTTAGACCAACCTAAAAAAGTTTACTAAATTCCATCCCTTTGACAAATAAAAAATGGAAACTAAACTCAAAAAATTTGAATTAACTTACACAGTCGTTCTGGTCTTTAAGCAGTTCCTTGACTCTATTCACTGCTGACGGAGTCTAGAAATTTCATAAATCAAAAGTTTAAAAACACACAAAAACAAATTTTGAGGTTATTCATTTATGTAATAGATTTCTGCGAGTTCTTACCAAAATTAATGCTTGCCTTGTGGGCAGTAATTTGCGTTTTACTGCCCTTACGGTTGCAGTTGCTACTGTTCTTGTTGCCATCGAATAAAAAACTGAAATTTTGATAGAGTAAGATTTGCTGGCACAATTTTAGAAGTTTGTTTTTGTTTGGTAATTTTCTAAATCCGGATCTGCGTCGTTAGCGACGTCAGCGTGGTAAGTGTCAAATAAAATTTCAATTAAAAAACTAGACATGGCAACAGCGCAAAAAAAGGCTCAGGGTGAAATTATTTCGAGTTCCTTGTTCGGAGTTTACATTAGAATCATTTCAGGATCAATTTTAGACTAGTTTCTAGAGATTTAAGACTAGTTTTTTTTTCGAGACAAACGCACTTTTGCTTTGCGGCTATTGTTCGGTAAAAGAGACTTCCTGGAGGATTCCTATTCCAGAGCAGAGCAGAGTCATTAACTCCGGAGTAGGTCCCAAAAAAAAAAACGCATTTTCAAATCCAATAGTTGTATTCCTTTCACACCTAGGAGGAGCTCCGGGGCTTCACGCGCTTATTCCATCTGTTCCCTGCAAATCGGGGGCGGCTGAACACCGGAACGAGTAGCTCGAGTGTTTCAAGCTCTTGAAAGGAATACAACTATTGACTCTATGTTTGAAATTTGCATAGAGCCACAACCAGTGGGGCTCGGAAGTGATACTACGAGAATCAAATGCACCAATAAAAGAACGCATCGCTTTAAAAACTCCAAGTTACTGGCAGATCTGGGAAGAATGCTTTTCCGAAATCGTTCGAGGTAAAATAAAATTTAGAACTGGCTCCTAAATAGGCTGAATTTGTTCCAGACTGGTTCGGAACACGGTACATTTGACATCCGGGTTCAGAGGTGTGATCCACTTGTTTTTTTTTTTTATCAGCTGATTTTGACACTGACAGAAAGTGCAAAAGAAAAATGGTGGAACAGAAAGTTTTTATTTTTTGCTCATTTTAGTAATTTTTTGTGTTGATTTTGGATCTTGGCCGAATAACAACAGAACAAAATTTCCTGGAGGCAAGTTCTACACAAATAAATAACAACGCCTTTGAATAATAATCCATTAAAAAAATAGGTTTCCCAAGAGGCATATTTACAGGTTGAAAAAGTGAAAGTGCATTTTTCTTGAACAACTGCAGACTGCAGCTGTATTCGATAATTTTTCAGTAAAAATGACCAACTTGGGAATAAAACATCTCGTAAACTACAGCAGGTAAGTTTTTACCTAATTAGAATAATTAGACTTTAGATTTGTTTATAGAATTTGTATATATTTCTGACCTTGTTCAAATACTGTATATTTTTTGATTTGTCTGCTCTGCATGCATCAGGTTGATGTTTTATTATCAATAATATTTGTGCAGGTTTCTAGTTTAGAAAGGTTACCTTGAACCTTATTATGTGAAACATCTCGACTTTTTGGTTGCAAAATAAAAAAAAAGCAGTCTCAAAAATGATTGTTGGTTCCATATTTATGCAACAATATTTCAGATTTGAAGAATAGTAGGTACCTGGTACCAATAGATATGAGGCAGTGAAATTTTTCTGCACTTATCTTCCTAGTTGGTGTATATTAAATAGTTTGTTCTCTTGGTGATACAAAACAAGCATTTCTGAGTCTGGCTAAAATTTTCAAATGGGTTCACAAAATCAATGAGAAATACATGTAGTCTGTTTTTTTTTGTTGTTTATATGAATTCTACCGAGAATTTTATTTAGAATTAACAACTCTACAATTCTATCCATGTTTTCCCAGATGTTTTCTGACTGGGAAAATAAGTACCGAAAATCGTCACTGTCTCCTAGACTAATAAAGCTGTATGTCTACATCAATGGCGAGATCAATGGTCTACATTCAGGATCTAATTACATGTCATTAAAGCGGAATTAAGTTCATTCTCGGCTATATTCTATTCCAGTACCTACTTACTCGATAAAAGAAAAACCTATATGGTAATTTTTAAGCAAGACACAAATAATATGTTATGCAATAAAAACTGATATTAAGTAGGGGAGAGGTGGGATACTTGATCCCATAGGAGACTTGATCCCCATTCGAAATTCGCGCCGTTTTCAGCCGTTAGTGCTTCATGTCATCAGTGGCGCATGTTTTTAATGCAACTGCGCTCTACTAGTTCAGTCAGCGTCCTACAGCCATCTTGTGAACAGTTATCGTCGCAATTTTGTTTTTATACGTCCCAGACTTCTTTTTCGGTGAGTATTTATTTATTTTTTCAGCCACAAATATATGAACAATAGGTTGTTTGTATTTTTTCTTGTGACTACGGCTATATTTGGCACAATAATTTAACGAATTTGAAGTCTCTTTGTGAGTAGTTTTTCTGATAATAATTTTTTGATATTTTAATTGTGTGTTGGGAGATTTGATCCCACGCTGAGGTAGGATACTTGATCCCTGGATCAAGTCTCCCTTGATCCCTGCATCAAGTCTCCCCCTGCCAGTTTTGGTCAAATATTCATTATTTTTGTTTGTTAAAGATGCCGAGAAAATATAAAACAAAGGAAGGGGCAAAGTCAAGGGTTCCCCCCAACCCGGAACAATTGAAAGCCGCTGTAAATGCTGTCAAAGCAGGTGGTAGTTTTCGAGGAACTGCAAAATCTTTCAATGTGCCATTGATGACCCTCAAAAGACTTATAAGAAGAGGAACAGACAAGCCACCAGGCTACAAAAAGGCTCAAATCTTTACTGCTGAAGAGGAAGCTGAACTTGCCACATATCTTTTAACTGCTTCTCAGCTGTATTATGGACTAACTATCACCAGTCTTCGAAAGTTAGCGTTCCAAATGGCAAAAAAAAATAACAAGAAGTTTCCAGCTTGTTGGGAAAAAAATCAGTCAGCGGGAAAAGAATGGGCCTGTGGATTTCTGGAAAGAAATGGAACTCTATCCTTGAGAACGCCAGAGCCTACCAGCCTAAGTAGAAGTACTGCATTCAACCGGCACACTGTTGGCGAGTTTTTCAATAATTTAATAAAAGTTTGCCAGAAACACCAGTTCTTACCATCAAGAATATGGAATGTAGACGAAACCGGAGTGACCACCGTTCATAAACCTGGAAAAATTATTGCTGGAAAAGGGACCAAACAAGTCGGAAAAGTTACCTCTGCTGAGAGAGGTCAATTGGTAACCGTGTGTTCTGCTATCAGTGCTTCTGGTAACCACATTCCACCATTTATGATTTTTCCACGCGTTAATTGGCAGGAGCGAATGATCGATGGCGCCCCTCCTGGTACTAAAGGATCCACCCACACAAGCGGCTGGATGACAGCGCCGAACTTCCTGAAGTTTCTGCATCATTTTTTACAACATACAAACAGCTCCCCAAATAACCAAACGTTGATGATTATGGACAACCATGACAGTCACATATCTGTTGAAAGTTTAACGTATGCAAAACAGAATGGTATTGTCTTGCTAACCATACCTCCCCATACGTCCCATAAACTTCAGCCTTTGGATAGAACTGTGTTTGGCCCTTTGAAAACGTATTATAATGTGGCAGCTGCAGAATGGATGACAATTCACCCTGGCAGACCCTTGACAATTTATGATCTTGCAGGGTTGCTCGGGAATGCCTATCCTAAGGCTATGACACCTACAAATATCATGAGCGGGTTCCAAGTAACAGGTATATGGCCGTTGAATTCCATGATATTTACAGATGTAGAGTTTCTCACAAGTTTTGTAACAGATCGCCCAGATCCAGAGACAACCGAACAATTAGAAACGACAGTAAAAGAAAACTCTGAGCCGCTTCCGTCAACATCATCTACAATGCCAGTTGCTCCTACAGTGCCAGTTGCTCCTCTTCATTTCTCGCCTGCTGAAATCTTTCCATTCCCGAAAGCACCGCCGAGAAGTAGCAACTCATCAGTGCGTGGTCGAAAGCGTGCGAAAAGTCGAATACTCACAGATACACCGGAGAAAACCCAAATTGAAGAAGAGTTTATGAAAAGAGAAGAAAAAAAAGCAAAGAAAAGTTTCAACCAGAAGCCGAAATGCAGAGTAGAAGCTGTGAAACGAGTGTTGATGGTTTCTAGTGATGAGGATGAGGACTCATTTAGCCTGCACGATAGTAGCAGCAATGACTCAAACTTCTTTGGATCTCCACCAGAGTCTGAATCCGAAGAAGTTATTGACAATTCAACCCTAGCAGTTAATGACTTTGTCATTGTGCAGCTCAAATCAAAGAAGGCTATCAAGAATTTCGTGGGAATAATTGAAGGGATTAATGATGAAATTGAGATCAATTTCTTGAAGAAAAAAGAAGGAGCTTTCCAGTTCTTCTATCCTGAAATTCCCGACAGAAGTTGTGTTTCCCGGGAGGATTGTATTCTGAAGTTGCCTCAGCCGTTAATTACCACTGGAACAGTTTGAACTGCAGGAGTCCTGAACTTCCCACTACTTTATTCCAAATACTTTTAGTTTTGATTCAACCTACAATGTTGATAATAATGTTGAATACATATTTTTTCTATTCACAAGCTATTTTATTCTGGAAAACCTTCTCCGATAATCTTCCAATAATCTGAAATAGGCATGATCAAGTCTCCCTATAGGAAGGGATCAAGTCACCCAACTGGTTTGGAGACTTGATCCCAAGGCAAGCTTCCCAAAAAAGGGCCAGTAACTCTTAATTTTTCAAAAATTGACTCTGAACTGTTTAAAATTATATGCAGCTAGGTTTCCTCTGCGTATTTGGCCATTTAAAACATCAAAATCTGGAGAATTGTAGAAAAAATATTTAAAAGTATAAAAGGGGGATCAAGTATCCCTCCTCTCCCCTAATATGTATTTGTAATTTCCATATCTCATATTAATTAATTTAGAAAGGCCAACAGTTTATTCTGAATATTATCAAGTTAATTATGTTTTAAAAGTCAATGAGATGATCTGTCCAAATACTTTTGAAATAAAAACTTATTTGGGAAGTAATTTTATAATAGTACAAGAGCCAGTGAAAAAATTTCTGGCTGATTTCATTATGGCTGAAAAATTTATGAATCTTGAACAATACGAAATCGCGTGCCTGCCTGCTCGTATCGGTTGCGTTTTTTAATAAAAAAAAATTTAACGAGGTTTTGTGAAAGCAAAAACCGACTCATCGCGTTTTTGCATGAAAATTTGTGTGAACATAGAACAAACACCCCCAAGTATGATTTCGAATGCCTGTCTACCTAAATCAGTTGCCAAATAGCGCCGTGATAGCGCCTGTCAAATAAAAATTGATTGAAAGTTTTTTCAAAATTCGACTCATCGCGTTTCGAGTGAAAATTGAATACCTGGTGCCCACGAGATTACTTTCCGGCTGCCATTTTTTTATTTGTTTATCGATATCAACGAAACTTGGTAGGCTTGATATTCTAACAAAACACCATTTTTATGCATCCACGACAAGTTTTCCTGACTTCCGGTTTCACCGGAAGTGACCGAAACTTTTGATTTTCAAATGGCATACCCTGTATATTTTTTATTTTTATTTATTATTTATATTTATTCTTAAAGTTCTTATTTATGTTTATTAACCTAATTTGCACCATAAGTTTATAGTTTGAACTAGTGATTTGATTTGTGATTTTTGTCTTTTTTGAGGTTCATAATTGTGATAAAAATTTGACTTAATTTACTAAGAATTAATTAGTAATAAGAATTTTGCTTTGTCAATGAAAAACAATGGTATTTTTTGAACAATAAAGCTTATTTTGATTTGATTTGATTTGATATTTTTTGGTAAGTGCGGTAAACATTTTACCGCACCGTGCGGGAAAACTCATTTTCCGCACGCATATCAGTGCGGAAAATCGATTTTTCCGCACGGCTGTAGGAAAAAGTTGTTTACGTTGAACAATTTCAAATTTGACATTTCAATGCATCGTTCCGTTTGGTCATATGAAATTTTCTAACAATGTCATTGGTTAAAATCTTTTACAGGACACGTTGCCAAATTGAGTAGTGCAAATTTAAAAATTCACGATTTACAAAATGCACAAGATTTCAAATAAACCGATCGTAAATTTTTAGAATTCGTCGACGCACATATTTCGACCGATTGAGTCGCATGTGAAAGATTTGCACGAATTTCAAATAAAGCCCCCCAGGTGGAATATTCAAATTCACAAAATAAAAACACATGGACCGTGCCGACCCAGAGATGCACAAAGAACAATGATGTCGTAGCAGTGTTGCCAGACT